GTGATATCTTCTAATAAGGTAAACCATAAGGCTAGGATGAAGCAGTGGATTTCAGTCGCATCCACCGAACTGATGGATGCTCGAAAACGCATCCCACCTGACTCTGAACATGATGAAGAGCGTAGTCAGCTTAGGCTCAGACTTATAAAAAGCCTACGTAACGACCGTGAACAGTGGTGGGTGGCGAAAGCAAAAGCGATGGAAAAGGCAGCGGCGATCGGCAACAGTAGACAACTTTTCCGCCTTATTAAAGAAACAGGTATTAGGAACCCGAATGTGAGTGAGACTATTTCAGAAAAGGATGGTCTTATTGTCCACTCTCAATCCGGGAGACTGGACCGATGGGCAGAACACTTTAGGGATCAGATCAACTGGCCTCGAGCCACTTCGGTTGCCCAAGGTCCCCAGTCATCCTGAATGGCCAATCGATCGAAGTCCTTCCAGTCTACATGAAGTTGAGAAAGCTATAGGAAATCTAAAGCGAAGTATAGCAGCAGGTCCTGATAGGCTTACTCCTGAGATGTTTAAGGATGGTGGTCCAGCTTTAACAGTTAGACTGACCGAAATCCTAGGTAGAATCTGGGAACTGGACGTAATCCCATCTGACTGGTCTCAGTCTCTAATTATCCCAATCTACAAGAAAGGACAGAAGTCCTCTTGTGACAATCACAGGAGAATAAGCCTAACTAACATAGTTTCTAAATTGTTAGCCTCGATTATACTTAGACGCCTAACTATGACTCGTGAAGAGCAGACTCGAGTAAACCAGTCTGGTTTCAGACCTGGACGTGGTTGTATAGACCACATTTTCACACTACGACAGGTCCTGGAACACAGACACACATTTACCTGTCCTACAATAGTCGTGTTCCTGAACCTAAAAGCGGCATTTGACTCAGTGGATCGTAAGGTTTTGTGACATTGTCTGTCATTGAAAGGTGTACCAAAGAAGTACATTAACCTTATACAAGCTCTCTACACTAACACCACTGGTCGGGTGAGAGCATATGGCGAACTGTCATCAGAATTCTCTACATCAAGTGGTGTCCGTCAGGGCTGTCCACTCTATCCATTCTTGTTTAACTTTGTCGTTGATATGCTTTTAGAGTTAACATTAAGCTCGTCAGATTTCTCAGGGGTTGTCTGGCTACGAGGAAAGTCGCTTACTGATCTAGAATATGCCGATGACATAGTTCTATTCGGTGAAGACGCTGACAAAATGCAGAGTCTTCTTACTACCATAAGCAACAATGTGAGCATGTTCGGTATGCGGTTTTCCCCCTCGAAATGCAAAATGTTGCTTCAAGACTGGGTTGCATCGGCACCTGAACTAGTGATAGGGAGTGAAGTAGTCGAACGTGTAGACCGCTTCACTTATCTTGGGAGTCTCATTAGCGCTGATAGCCTGGTGACTGACGAAATCTCAGCGCGGATACAGAAGGCTCGATTGGCTTTTGCCAGTTTACGCCGTTTATGGCGCAGGCCAGATATCCTTTCGCTAAACAAAGGACGGGTGTGCCGCGCAGCAGTTCGCTCCGTCCTCCTATATGGCTGTGAAACATGGCCGTTAAGAGTAGAAGATGTTCGTAGGTTACTAGTATTCGACCATAGATGTTTGAGAAACATTGCTCGTATATCGCGGGACAACCGAGTAAGCAATGCTGTCGTTAGGAAACGAGTACTAGGTAGGGATGGCAAACCAGTCCATGAAGTAGTGAAACTTCATCAGTTGAGGTGGTTGGAACATGTGTTACGAATACCTAACCACCGACTGCCTCGTCGAGCTATGTTTTGTGGTGAAGTTGTAGATTGGAAGAAAGCTAGGGGCGGCCAGACTGAAACATGGCAGAAATCCATGAAGTCACTGACTAGTGGACTGAGCCATGTCGGTAGATGTAGGCTACCTGGTTGGGGTCCGCGAGACGAAAGTCATCAATGGTTAGAGACCTTGAATGACATGGCTCAAAATCATTTACAATGGCGCAAGTGCATCCATTCTTTGAGCTCTCTCAAATCTTAATCTTCTGGATTCGTCAGCACCTATACCTTTGTCTTTCTAACCTTATCTCAGTTAATTATACTTCTTGAATAATATCTTCAAACCCTAGTCTTCTTCATTACCATTAATACATCTACCATCTTTATCACTATGGGATTTGATTTGACATTTGCCTCTCTGTGCGAATGTGGTATGGCAACATGAACTTATGTACATACTTACGTAGTTCTACGTTGCAACTGACTGACTGACTGTCAAATATACAAACAACTTTCGAATTTTGCATAAACTCTCTTTTTGTCTTCAGAGTTATGTTTCTGTTGTACATGGTAGGTGAGTCTGCTGACGCAGTGTATTGATTGTGTGTGATCTTAGGTTAAAAGTCATATTTGTCAGAGTATACAAGAATTAAAAACAATGAATAATAACCCTAAATATATCTATACACTACCAGACAGCGATTTTTCATCGCTTGATAATAGGAACTTCTTTTGGTTGGACACTTTGGTGGACACTTTTACTCATCGTACATGCTACATCTTGACATGTGAATTTAATAGCTGTATGTCAATAACAAGACTAAGAGATCGAATGGTATCAGTAAAAATGGTGTCGTTTTAGGACTTAAATATTCGTTTACCCAATAAAATAATGTCTCAAGGCATCAATTAGGTCATCCTATTTAACGTATTTTCATTGAGTAGCCAGATGACCGACTTGAAGAAAAACGAAACCAGGCTGCTTACAGTAGTATTTAGACCCAAAAAAGAGCAGGATTTAATGCTGAAAAACACATATCAACCGAAGTTACCGGGGATTTTTGTTTGAAAAAACTTATTGCTCGCTAACCATGTACAAAATGGGGGCACGAAAATGAGGCAAAGCTACTGTCAAGAGCGAGAGCAAAAGATCTCAAAACATTGAGTTGGCTGGTGCGGAGGTTCTGGAAGTGAACTGTATTAAAATTCCATTTCAATTGTTTAGTGAGTTGTTGACAGAATAGAGGAAACTTACGCTTAACGGTCCTCCATATCTGCTAGCAGTTGATAATCGATGCCTCCAGATAGGACCCTACCTATATTCGATGAGTAAACGAGAATCATCAACAAATTATACTGAAGTACTTTCCTGAGTCCTTAGGTAAATGTCAAGTATCAGCTTGAAGGATTTTGTTAAGTCACTTTTATCACCTCAATCGGTGGTGAACCCCAGAATTTGACTACTCGTTAAGAGTAGAATGTGTCCTTCTAGTTTAGTTTGTCTGTGCTGGACGTCTAGTTTCTGGTTATTCCTTCAAGGGTTTGTGTTGAGACTGAGCTTATGGTAAGTATTTTGGGTGAAGCGCGGGAGTGTTTATGATGCTATGAGTCATTTTAAGGTCACCTCTTAGATGCCTGGGCTCAAACGGTTGAAGACCCAGTGACTTGAGGCGCTACTTATAAGATTCGAACTTCAGTCCTCGGACTGAATTTGTGGCTCATCTTTGGATTCATTCTAGTGTATTAGTGTCCTTTCAGAGTGAGGCAGGAAGCAATATATTTTAATACTTCAAATAAGGCCGAATAAAGTACGACATCGCCAGTGGAAGGCGACTAAGGTAAATCCCAGGTGTTCTTGTACCACTTTCGCAATGTGCATACAGAAGCGACGCCCTGTCCTGAGGCATAAGTAAATCATAGCATCCATACCATGGATATTATAATCATTAAAATCTCAATCTCTTTAGTCCGTTTGAAAACCTGTACAACTGGAAGAAATGAATGCATGATGACGAACGCGACTGTGGAATTTCATGTTTGAACATTTGTCTAACTTTAGGCAGACTGTCAGGTGACTGAGAAGAAGCCAAATAATTCCAGCCTTAAAAAACAGTAACGATGCGCACACCTCAGAAATCTTAGCCTATAAATCCAGGCAGTTTTAATTGCCAAGGTTCTGCACAAGTTTATATATAAGTCATTGTTCCACTGTCTAAATAAAGTCGTGATTCCCCATTAAATTGATTCATATCCTGCGAACTTATCGGCAACACGAGAAAACTGATGTGTTTTAAAAGCTACCTATAGATGTAGCCTTCATTAACTTCATTAGAGGTCTTGAAAAAGTCCCGCACAACAAGTTTCTATATAAGTTAGTGAATGTCACAGTCAGGGTTCAAAAAAGATAACGGATTGAATTTAGGTTTTCTAACCGAAAAAGTAGTGCTTGTTGTAAGGAAACATAATACAGCTTTTGTACGCACGTTATTCCTTTTGTACTTATGTGAACTTCCTATTTTCGTATAATGATTTGTCCTCGTATATGCTGAAAATTCCAAGATATAGACAACGATAAAAACTAGGGTAATAGCTTAGAACCTCAAAGTAATTTGTGAAAAGTGTCTGAGTAGTCAACAACTGAGCAGTTGTCGATTAGTGCTTCCAAAGGCATTACGAAATATGCTGATCACCAAGGTATAGATAGACACTATGCATAATGTTGAGCTACACCCTGTTCAGAGAGAATGATCTAGAAATCTTTGTCAGTAAATATTTGAAAATTTTCCTCACACTTCCATAAAAAAGAGGATAAGTGATCTAGGACTATCCGGTCAATAGTTGCACAAGCAGCCGGATCCTACCCGAAACGGGTAAAAAGCTGTTGAGAAAGATTCGAAAAGCTACAATTAGGTTAGCCGCCATATGATGACGGACCTGAAAATTTAAACATATCCCCCCTTGTTATACAGAAATTAATGTGACATAACCACAGTTATCTTATATTAATTTTGTATATGACATGCCCTCACATCTATTGTCTTCCATAAAACTGATCACTAACCAACCGGACTCCTAATTTAGATACGTAAATGAAACAGCATCTGTCAACGTGTTCGAACGATAGTTGGGTGAAAGCAGAAACTCTAGTTATCTAGAATAGAATGGACTAAGGCGCTTAACGTTCTTCGCAGTGAAAATGGAATTAGAACTTTCGTCTTCAAAATGAAAATTTAATTCAACTAGTTGCTCTGATTTCTTCAAACATAGTTGCTTAGCAGTAGATGTTATCAGGTTTGAACTCAAAAGATTATGATTCTTCGCTCGAATGAGACAGTGAACAAAAGTGTGATAACAGAAAAGCAAACAAATTACACTCAATCCATTTGGAAGTTTCATACCGGTGTTGGCAAAAACATTCACTTTGTGGGCCGGGAAGTATGCAGTCCACTCCATTTGGGTTTGTCCATGAGACGAAAATTCTATTTCGATGTCTCTTAACTCAACATGAATAATTGACTTTTTTATACCAGTGGTATGTACTTTTTCTTGTAAGCTTCATATTGTTCAGGTGTGAAAAGTTTCCCACCATCATCTTCGCCTACGATTCTGTGATAACTGCTAGAGGAAGTCATATGGAAACCTACCGTCTGTATTCCTCATATTCATCAATTGATTTCAGATCACCGACAACTTTATTTGAACTCGACCCCAAATTCATGATTGCATCATTATATTATCATAGCAACCATTGTTCTTCAGCTGATCAAAACAAACTCGACTAGAAATATCGGCATGACAAGTTTAGTCTTTGACTCTCATATTTCGAGCTGAACATTTGATATATTCTAAGATGGATAAGACGTCTGGCCGTTGACTTAACCTCGTCTAAGTCATCGATGACTGACTCAAACTGACTGATTGCACGCCGTAGAATAAGGCATGCAGAAGCAACTAAACTCACCATTTCTCCGTTCTTTTCTGACTACTAATTTATCAATCACCAGAATAGGTGATCTCAGTCAACGGCTGAGCCCACTCGAGTTCATTGGGGTGTCGAATGATCTATAATATTATTGAAATCATCGATCGGTCATTGTTAGGCCGCCATTGGAAATCCGGAGACACAGGACAGCCACTTTTTCCTGGTATGTAGCTCATCACTAGCAAGTGGCTTCGTGAGGACGTAACTAGTGGAGTTCTGGGGATGTGATGCAGGTGTATATATGTCTACAATATAAACAACTTTCTAGGTCCTAGACAATGATGTTAATATTATTAGTTCTCACAAAAACAAAGTCATTTCATGCCAGATAAAATTATTGAGATGTGACAGTAAAGTTCGAAGATGGGGAAACCCTTGCAATATTTGTGTTTTAGGGAAGTGTTTCAAGATGCATACATCTGAAATTTCTAATTGTCAGGTGAATCATAAACTTCGCCTTCCTGTAATATTGCTACTAACCACACAATGCTTGATACTGAACATACAAAAACTGAGAAGACTGACGTTCAACTTTCAACACATGAATAAATTGTGATCACAACAACACATAATCGAGACAGCATAGTTTGGCAAAGCACGCGAGGTCGATTTATGCAACCTCCAGTCTCAGTTCAAATATGTTACTCGTGAGTCTCCGAAAGCAAATACTGCTGATGGTTATATGATTAGGTTGATAAAGTAACATCTTCCAGCCCCATGAATCTCTTCTCTTTTACGAGAGTCACTTTCGCACAACTTGCATTCTGTATAGTTTGTAATATTGTTATTATCTTTCATATTACCATTTTGCTGTAACTTTGTGAAATTGATGTTGGCTACAACGTAGGGAAAATGTTTTGTTCAGTCTAGTTCGATTAGTTCATTTTTAAGGCGATTCGTTGTATGAAAAGCGTCTGTGAAAGTTTCGCGTACACAACGCGTTATTATATTCAAACTATCATGTGTGGCAGATAAACGTTGCATCCTACCTGTTGAAAACTCCTGAGCGTCTCCATATAATTCGTTTTCAGTCGTGAACTAGCTAAATTAATTTTGTGATTTGGTGTTCATGTCTGTCATTGTACTTACTTGCTTGAACAATAATCCGTTTACACTTTCTACGTATAATTTAGGCTGATAATGAATAGGCTGTAGACAAATTCATTTGGTAAATATAGTTGATACATTCATTCTTTCTTTCTCTTCATCATTTGCTAATCATATTGCTTGATATACAATTTTGTAATAAAATTTGTTTTGAAAACTTCACTCCACTCGTGGATAGTATGTAGTGTTTTTGATAGAAATGGAAAGAGTAATATGGTGGAAGAAATCTGTAGCTCAGGTGAATGATTGTGGTGGAGATTTGTTCTCAAGCTGAATATTTCGGTTGTGAAGATTTCAAAGTTCTTCTAAACAACCTCATCACCACAAACATCAGATAAATGTGTTGATGACGTTGCTCAGACGAACGATGAAAGCTCCACAATCAAAATATCCAGTTTAGAGAAGGGAACTCCACCATAAAGAGTAGTATGACCGAGTGTAGAACGGAAAATAAAATGAACGCACGATCAGCCACTACTCTGGAAACAAGCCTTACAATAGAGTAGATGCCAAGTGAACTGGAACAAAGTGAACAGATTGCAAAACCTAAGAAGTATGAATTTAGCACAAAGTAAAATCAATTCGTTTATAATAAATGAATTTCCATTTTCACTTGAAAAGTCAATGAAAGACCACATTTTGATTTCAATTTAAAACTTAAGTTTCAACTTAGTTGATCGTGATCTGACAGATGATCACTCACAATCATGTTGTACTGCACAAATAACGAATGTTCTGTTTACCTTTCAAATACATGAGGATTGATTGCTTGTTCATTAGCTCACTCGAAACTATTATAAATTGTAAATTGATTGTAAATTTTAAATTGAATGATTATCTCGTATGACATCTAAAATTTGAGGTGCGGTGTCGGAGATCCTCTCACGAAAGATCCTCAACCAGAAACTGACTACATGAGCTAGAAGGCAATAGAAAGTGAATATGGCTACTGAATGACACGTATAAATACAAGTTTGTATACATACACATTTCATGCGCCCAGAGCTGTTTTAGGGTTAATGCTAGTTCTAAGCACGAAAGAACAAATAATTCAAACCATCTAAACCTCGTCCTGGCAGATGGAGAGTCTACCTTTAGAAAAGTTATCATGACTCATTCTGAAAGTCGATCATCTTCGGAAGTCACCAGGCCTAACATCGTAACAAACAAAGAAGCCATCATTCTAGGTACAGCAAATGCTGAAATACGATAGAGAAGATCGGAAGAAATATACAATTCACTATGGAAATGAAAATTCACAACAAGATGTTACTTGAAATAGGATATAAATATTGGATGCACAGTGAACGAAAAGGATTAGCTTCAGGAGAAAGTATGTTGTACTCAGGACATGAGAAAGTCGTCCACTCACGCATACATGCAGTTGCACTGATACTGTGAAAGAAGCACAAAAACATCTTACGGTTGGAGCAAACTCTAAATCCAGCATCATCAAGGCATTCTTCAAGATAAATAAGTCGAGAACTACAATCAATGTGATCTGGTATTATGAGCCCAGCAAACACCATCTATATTTATTATCAATAAAAGTGCATCCAGTATCGAAATGAACTCGACTATCAATTAGCACACAATTACAGTTTATTTGAAGAAGAAGAAGTCAAGTTATTCATGAATTAATTTTTATTTCCATCAAAAATAAAATGACAATTGAATAGCCATTCAATATTAAATAGTTTAAAAGTCATCATCGAATCATTCAATGATAAACTTCACTGAAAATTTATTTCACTATCAACTACTGAATTTCCATTCCATTTCAGTTAAATGGTTAGGCGGATACAGTATCACCATCTTCAAATTTACGAATTCTCATGATTGACGAAATCAGGTAGATAACTTGAATAAAACCGAAGATGAAACACACATACATTAATCTTTTTAGACAACTTCGTACAAAGTCGTTTAACATTGTTATACATCCCTGTCAATAGTAGAAAACAGTAAACCGAATTACAATAGAGGAACATAATAGGTTTATGAGAAGCATTATACGAGCAATTACCGAAAAAAATCACTTCACCTGTTTGAAGGCAACGAATTTCAGAATAATCGAAGATCGTCTCATCATATAAGATGAGATGAAAGGAAACACCTTTCGTTGTGTTGTTTACAACCAAATGAGAATTTTGAAATCCTACCACATGTCACTCACAAATGAAATGAACATATCAACTAGAATCAAATTCACTTAACTATGTACCAGAAGTTGATAGAGTCGGGTAATAGTGATGCTAACTGAAACGGACTTAAAGCCGAACATCAAACAACAAACTGTGTGTGCAAATCCACAGTCACATTATTGTGATAATTTCAGTCAACCAGATGAGGATTTGCAACATGTCACTGATCGATATAAAACTGGTCATGACAAATTGCTCTATGTTGACGAATTGATAACTGAAGTGAATAATCCAATTTTTTGGTGGATATTTTCAATTGGTTTGGACAAATAAGGAAGAATTCACAATACATGTAGAAAAATAAGTTGAATAATGAATGGCTGTCGATATATTGACTTACTTTCTGATCAGTCATATTTTTACGATCACACGACATTGGTATATCTTTTGCTAATCCAGTTTGTGGGTAGTCCGTGTACGAATTAGCACCACAACAGTAAAACTATGCACAAAATAATTACATGAGTATTTGTTCCACAAAACATACTTCCGTTTGTAAAACGTCGAACTGCATCTGATATCTGGCGTTCTTGAAGTAATATTTCACAGTTAAATTCAAAGACTGACGAGCTGACGCAAAGAACTACAATTAACAAACCACAACAGTGGTTGTTAGTCTGCATCAAATTCATTCTACACCAAACAAACCTTGTCTTCCTTCGCAGCCACGTTCACAGCTACACCGATCTCCATCAGTGTCACCAAACACAAAAGAAACATATTCTAAACACACAAATCATCAACAACAACAACAGCAAATGTTTATCCATATTGCATGTATCAATTACCACATATACGATCATTCTGTGTTGCTTCAAGTATCCACAAACACCAACACATGATGCCAATACACCAAGTCCTCCTGCAATACTAGCAATCAGGAAGACCAATGGTTTGGCATTATTTAAAATTGCACTGAGTCCATTCAGAGTGACCTGTGGACCGATGCTGATTGCCAACACAACTATGCTAAATATCTTCAATGAAATAGTTGAATGAAATGAATCATGAAAGGGGCACACAAATGAAGATACTCACCACAAAACTACAGTTACATATGATGAACAATCTTCTCCAAGATTCACTCGACAATGACATTGCACTTTATTCTAACTAGATGATATTAATTATCACCACAGAGTGTTTTAACTGCTAATAACTATGAGTGCATAGTAATCTGTGTCTATCGTCTCATTAAATATATCAATTTCATTGTTTCAATTCGTTGTGATTCATGTGACTGATTAGCTGGTTATTTAGTTACTTAGTTAGTAAGTCAGTTAGTTTGTTAGTTAGTTAGTTAGCCTCATTGTCATATTTTTGTTCTATTGTGAATCTACAAACAGGTATACAGAGTTAAATGACATGCAACTGTGCGAAGCATTCATTTCGTCAATTGATTTGAAGAAAATATTCGACTTTTACTTACACATAGACACTAATGTAATCATAATAATAATAATTTGATTATTGAAATGTGCACACCGCTTCATTAGAATGTGTGTTGTTATGCACAGATTCATTTTGATTCTCTGCAATGGATTTTCATTTTAACTGCTCATATGATCATGTATTCCCTAATTTAAATAAAAGTTATTAATAGAATTCAAATTGACAGAATATAAGCTGTCAGTGAAATAATTGAGACTGACAGTGTAGATATGTATTGCTGTTGTTGTGTTTTACACTCACATTGATGTAATGAAGCCACTGTAGTCAAATATTCAATTAAAAAAAGATTCTTTTTTTCTGAAGTAATTACTTCCAAATATAAGTTGAATTGCATAGTTTTGATTTAGCTCTGAGTATACTACAATGAACAATATGAATTTTTTTGATGAACATGTGGGCAGCAGCAATAGTAGAGTGATTATTAGCAAATTGAAAATCCGATTATGATTACATTATCGTCATATGGGGATGACAATGTT